TAAATGAATGTAAAGGAAGGGGGTTCTGACACATGCTCTCGTGTGGGGGACTCTTGACACTAGGCTAAGCGAAAGAAACCGGCCACTAAATGACATGGAGTATATGACTACAAGGCTATGAAATGCCCAGTGTAGACAAACCCACCGAGACAGAAAGTAGCTGGCGGCTGCCAGGGCTGAGAGAGTTGATGGAGAGAGACTGCTAATGGGCACAGGTTTCTTTTGGAGTGAGGAAAATGGTCTAAAATTGACTGTGGTGTTGGTTGCACCACTCTGAAAAATGTACTGCACACCGTTAGACTGCCCGGGTTAATGGGTTCATTTGGTGGAATGTGAATTATATCTCAGTAAAGCTGGTGGCAAGTGGGGAGACAGGTGCTGAATGAAAAAAGCAAAAGACTGAGGTAGAGCAACCCAGGGCCACTGTGGGTAGACAGGAGTGTGAGGGGACAGGAGACAGAAGGGACAGCAGCCTGTGTGCATTGTGAAGTGGGAGCTACAGAGAAAGGTAGCTGGGGGCTGACTGTGCACAAAGGACCCAGTGACCTGAGTGACCTGTCTCTGTGCCCAGGGCCTTCCTGCATTCCCTCCTGCTGCTCAACACCTGGACAGACAGCTTAACTTCCATATCATAGGCAAGCTTGTCATTCCTCCCAGGCATGTCAAAAACCCCGGAGGAAGGGTGGACAGCGAGCAGGGTCCTAAGGAACTCCCAGTAGTTTAATCCAGAGAAGTCACTGACCCTCAGCCACACGTGGTAGTGTGCACCTATTCACAGCACTTGGAAGGCTGAGGCAGGAGGACTCTGATTTCGAGGCTAGCCTGGGCTACACAGCAAGATCCTGTTTGGAAAAAAAAAAAAAAAAAAAAAAAAGTAACTTGTGCTGCCCCAGGCTGCGCTCTGGCCAGCCGGCCTCCTAGGTCAAGACAAGCCACCCTGTGCCAGCTTTCACTGCTAGTTAGTTAGGGGTGGTGCCTCTGTGTGTGCCCTGCTTCCGAGGCCTGCTATCCACCCAGCCACTCCCAACACCTTCTGGTTCTTACCTTCTTCAAGTCACTGGGAGATTTGGGCGCCTAAGGGCTTCCGGGAGCCAACGATGGTGGAAGATGTCAGAGAAATGTCTCCTGAATGCCCTGCCCTGCCCCGTCTGCCGTGTGCAGTGGGCACCTTCCATCCTGGCGACCCTGCTGCTCTGCTCTCCCCAGGGACCTCCCTTGCCCCTGCACCCGCCACCCATGTTAGGTAAGGTCTTCTTGAGCCATAGCTTCGTCCCACCCCAGCCACAAGGGAGCCAGCCATGTTTCAAAGGATGCTGCTGTCATAGGCCAGGCCAAGCCCCAAGGTGTCCCAAGGGGCTGTCAGGTCTTAGCTCAGTGCTGGGGACCCACCACCATCAGGTCGTCCCCTTGAGTTCACGGAGACTTCTCAGGTCTGATTTGCACTGGGTAGTCACCTCAGCCCCGGGACGCAGGAGGGCACGAACATCATCCATTCTGCAGGTGAGGATTGGAACTCAGGCCATTGGGACTTCACATGCCACATTCCTCCCCTTAGTCCCAGCCCTCCCACCTCGTGGGGAGCCTCCTGGTTTAATGGTGGGTCTGGGAGAGCCAGGCCTCCAGGGGTGGGCATCTGAGCACTGGGTCTCCTGGGAGGCTGGGAGCTGAGGGCCTCAGGATGCTTATGAGAAGTGGGGGGAGCCTGGATCCTGCACGGATGAGGGCCAGTGGCCCCAGGCCTAGGAGGAACGGACTGTGGTCCATAGTAGGCAGTTTATGAAGAGGCCTGTGCTCTAGAAGGCTTGTGAATGGAATCCCAGTGTGGCAGCCCCACTCAGAGGGAGTTTGACAGGACAGGGATGCCTGTGACCTGCTCCAGCACTTCCTCTGGGTCCAGGGACATTTGTCACCTCCTGACTTTGTGCCTGAAGTGAGGGGTGTCTGTACGGAAGTCCTCTTCACGAATGTGGACCTCTGAGCTGTTAACACAGATCCACTGCCTTTGGGAGGCCCCTCCTGAGTATCTGAGGAGCACCTGGGGAGGAGTCCCCTGTGGGCCACTGTGGGAGGGTGCATCTCGTCTCTCCTTACTTGACCCCCTCATCACCCACCCACAGATGCTTTCTTCCCTCCCTGCTGCTCAGGACTCATGCAGCTGGATTCATTTTCTTAGGACCTGGCTCCTTTTCTCGTCCTCCACCAGACTAGAACATTCCCTGGGATGGGAGGGCTGGCAGCTTGTTAAGCCCTGTGGTCAGCCCAGGAGCTTTCTGTCACTCTGGTCCCCTCTAGAACATCAGTTTAGCTCCAGAAGAAGCAAGTTGGTTTCTCAAAGCCTTCTGGCCCCCTGGGAGTGGGGCGGTGGCCACAGGACTCAATTCCTGACCACTTGCCAAGCCAGATAGCCTGGTTCCCTGGAATGGGGCCAGGACGGGGCTTAGGTCTGGCGCCTCCCTGGGCTCGGCGCCCACCCCCAATCTGGTTCTCTTTGGGAATGGGGAGGAACTTCAAACATGGCAACTGGGTCATTTCCCAGGACCCAAGTTGTCTCTGTAAGGTTGGCACGCCCTGTCCTGCCTCTCTAAGGGGTTGGCGCTTGTCACTCTCCTTCGCTTGGCTAAGTGAAGGGTCAGAATTAGCTCTCCACTCTCTAGAGGCTCTCCAAGTGGCCAAACCATCCCAGGGACAGAGCAGAACGGGCCTTCTGGGAATCTGCCCAAGGCCTTTTCCTCTGGTTTCCTGGGAAAAGATCCAGAAAAAAGACTGAAAGCTCCTGGCATGGGGGGTGGAACCAGGTCTTGCCCTGCAGGCAGAAGAAGCCCCTGGGGCTCTGGGAAACTGAGAGGTCTCACTATAGCCAAGATGGCGATTTGTGCTCAGTGGACCCTGGGGAGAGCTGGTTGTGCCTTGCTCACTCTGTGTCCTGTCATTCTCCAGGGCTCTGGCTGCATTCCTGGCCTGCAGGCCAAATGCAATTTCATGGAAACCCCAGGAGTCAAATCTCTCCAAAAAGTCCAGCCAGAAGGTATGCAGCTCAGTGATAGAGTGCTTGCCTAAAAGGTACAAGGCCTTGGGTTCGATCCCCAAACCACAACAAATAAAAGGTTGGCCTGGAGCCAGAATGTGAGCACAGAAATCTATTGACTGCTCAGAATGATCAGAGAAAAACAGAACTTGGCAGACAGGACCCCACCTGGTCCTCCTCACCTCTCCCTGCCCACCCCAACCTACCTCCTGGGATCAGATCCGGTGACAGGCATTTGCTCTGGGGACACACCATGTTGTCCAGACACCCCTGCGGGGGTGATAGGTGGGTGTGAACCATCCAGAAGACCTCACACTGTGGTGACTCATGTCCTCAAGGACCAAAAGGAGGGTGACAGGTGGGTCCTGGCTTAGGCTTAGTTAGTTGCTACTATCTGGTGCTGCAGTAAGCAAAGGGGCTTGAGGGTCAGGTGGAGATGGGTTCAAATTCTGAAACTGGGCAAGCCACCACCCTGCTCTGAGCCTGTTTTCTCACCTGCAAAATGGGCTTCAAATTGTCCCCTCCTGAAAGGATGCTGTGAGGTGAGTGTGACACAGCTGTCTCTTTAGGGCTCTCCTCAACACCAGGCGTGTGCTCCTGAGAGCCAGCACGTCCCTGAGTCCCTGTATCTGCTTCTGTCCATCCCTGGTCTAAATTTTAACATTGTATTTCCTCCTGCAGCAATGGCAGGCTTGATCACATGGCCTGCTCTGGCCAATGAAATGTGAGCAGAAGTGACGTATGTTGTTTCTGGGCAGAAACTTGAAGAGCCAGTGGGAGGCTCACCAGGTGTGTTCACTTCTGCCACAAGACTTGGTCTTAGACTGAGGCTGCTCTGTTAGCCTGAGTCCCAGAGAGCAAGACAACAAAAGCAGAGCTGAGGCCACCCTTCAAGGACAGGCAGCAGTCAGAAAACAGAAACCATTGGTGGAAGCTGTGGAGGTTTGGGGGTCACCCTCTGGCTGACACCACCCGCTGCCGGAAGCGTTTAAAGCGGTCTCTGAGCGATGTGCTTTTTTGGTCTTCAGCATCTGTAGGTGGCACGGTTAACTAAGGAGAGAAAATGTCATGCCTTGAGCTGGCTGTCACCCTGTAGGTACTCTGTACACAGTGGCTAGAATCTGCGTTTCCGCATGCAGACCGGCCTGACCCTGACCTCTGCCGAGTGTCTCATCTTGCCTAATGTAAGCTGGGCGGGTTCAGCCCGAGGTCTGTAGGTCAGGACAGCCTTTATGCAACTCTCTAGGAAGCTCCTGCCTGAGTCACAGGCCTGTGACCTTCTCCTCCCGCTCTGGGGAACCCCTGCCTGCTCCCTGCCACCCACCTGCAAGGGCTGTGTGGACAGAGGCTGCTTATCTGAGGTCTCATCATCCCCCTCCCCACTGGCCAGCACAGGTTTACTAAGCCTGCTACCAGAGAAAAGCCACACCAGAGAAACAGGGGGCGTCTCTATCGTTGACTGAGCCCGAGTCAATTCCTTCTGCCACTCTCGATCTTCCTGTCTCCTGCAGTTAAATGTGGTGCGAGTTTGTAGCACTGCACAGCACTGGCCTCACAGTGCTGAGATGTCACCAATCCTTTCCCCATCAGATTCCTGGCATCTTGTACTGGTATCTTCTGAGTTTGGGCTTCTCCCAGCATTCCTCTCTCAGCACCAAGCATGTGCTAAGTAGACAAGACTGGGTGTGCCACCCTAGCGGTGCCAAGGCAGGATGGAGGGAAGCTGCAGCTCTCTGGGGTCGAGTTCTAGGAGGTACCAGGGGATGCTACATGGTGTTGGGAGGGGCTTCGCCAAACCAGCAAGGAGTCAGGCCCCTCCCTCTGCCCCTCAGTCCTCCTCCAGGTCTCTACCTCTTTCTCCACGCATGGCAACTGGGTACCCCGAGCAGTCCAATTCCCTCTCAAAGGATGGGGTTTTGTGATTGGAACTGGCTCCCTCCCAGCTGCCCAGCAAGGATTTGAACAAAGGAACTTGCAAAAGCCATCTCTTTTTTTATTTTTCATTCCTGCCGTTCAACCAGTTTGAGCAAGCTGAGAGTGAGTGGCTTGTGGAGGACAAGGCAGAGCTGCTGGGGGCAGACCCTCCCGGAAATAGTCTATGCACACTGCTGAGGCTGGTTAGACTTGAGAAGCGATTTAACAATAAACTCTACAGAACTAGAAATGTACAAAAGTGTCAAGGTGGCTCCTGGCTGGTTTCTTGCCTCCCCGTGGGGGTCAGTTACACCCATCAGTCCTGTGCAGAGGTCCTGGAGCTGACCTGGAGAGCTGCCAGAGTCTCTCTTGGAAACAGGTGCGGTCCTGGTCACCCAGCAGCCATGTGGCAGCAGACAGGTGCAAGGGCGTGTGCCCAGGTGCCACAGCCCCCTGGGGTTCCATGGCTCCTTGTGCTCCTTGTGTTTTTGCCTCCAGCTTCTATGTCCGCCCCTTGAAAGTGTTCATGCAGGTATAGGTTCCTGAGAATCTGTGGATCTCCTCCAGTGCGGCCTGTGGGAGGATGCTGGGGGCAGGGAAGGGGTAGAGAAAGAAGATGGTCAGCGGGGCAGGGGGCAATGGTGAGATCATTGGTGGACACGCGAAACAGGACGGTAGAATGTGCCTCCCCCAGCCCGTGCCAAGGCACATGCCAGCCAGGGAAGAAGCTGGCTTTCCTGGGATGATGTGTGGTAACAGAGGGGCTGGCCTGACTCCTGGGTGTGTCGCTTCCTGTCAAGGCTTCCCGGGTCAGAGGGGTCAGCCAGAGTCGGGGCTTCCAGGACAAAGCTGTTTGTCCCTGCTGTGCTGAGGCCCATGGACACTGTGCAGAGGTGGTCACAGCACCAGCCCTTACTGGGACAGCAAGGGCTCACTGAACAAAGTCTGGAAGGTCCTAGGGCAAATCCTGGAGGAGGGGGAGGAGGACTGTCTTCTTTCTGAAGCTTAGCTCTTGAGGTTCTGTCCTGGTCAGCTATGAACTTTCTCTGTGCGCCTCACTAGATTAAACTTCCTGAGGGTTGGGGTTATGGGGATAGTAGAACAGTGGTTCTCAAAGTGTGGTCTGGGTACCCCTGGGGGTACCCAAGATTTCTTCAGGAGTCTATGAGTTCAAATGATTTTTATAATAATACTAAAATGTCATTTGTCCTTATTACTCTCATTCTCTCACGACTGTACGGTGCAGTTTTCCAAAGGCTACGTGATATGGAATATCACAGTGGCTTAAAATGATAAGCAGATAGGACAATCTGGGTGTCTGTAATTAAACCAGGAAACAAAAAGACTCACAAAAAATGTGAAACAATGCCACTCCTGGCTACAGTTATTTTGTTTTAGAAAATATAACTACTTGTCACCAAAATATATTTATGAGCCAGGAGTGATGGTACACGCCTATAATCCCAGCCCTTGGGAGTCTGAAGCAGGAGGATCATGAGTTCAAGGTCACCCAGTCTGGCCAGAAGACACGCTCTCTCGTAGCAAGACCATGTCTCAACAAAACAAAGAGAAAACAAAAGAAGCCCTCCAAACAAAAAACAATAACATATTTATAATAATGTAATCCGTTTGTTATTGCTATTTATAAATGAATAAATATTATAAATAGGAACAGATGTGTAAATCTAACATTTTTCTCGGCTGGAATTTCTAACGCAGTAAATACTGATAAACGCAACTCACATGAACAAGAGCTCTTTGGTTCCTCAGTAATTTTGGAGGCTCCCAGGGCTCTGATATCAACAAGTCTGAGAACCACTGTCCTAAGGTTGGGACAGTCACTCCATGGCTGAGTGTCACTGCTCCTCTCTGTCTCACCCACGGCAGACATGACCAGGGATCACATACTCACTTTCTCCACCAGGGCCCACAGGGGGAGGGAAAACACTTGCCACGAACCCGACCTCACTCGCACCTTTTCAAGATAATGAGGATATTCATTGTCCACGGAAGGAGGAGAAGGGCCCGATTAAGCTGCACGGCCTCCACTGTCCTCCGGGCCACGGTCTCCGGCTTCAGCGGCGGGAAGAGGTTGGGAAACCTGAAGGCAGCAGAGACACATTGGGTTTCTCCAAGCTGGGAGCCTTGGTATGGCCTCCGTGTCTGCGGCCTCCCTCTGGCCTCTCCTTTATGAGGAACTGGAGGCCGTGGGATTCTCCTCCAGCCCAGACTTGTTGGAGTTCCATGTTCCTTTGCTCCTCTGGCCCATGGTTCCAAGTGTGTGGGGCTCCCAGTTTGCAGAGAATCGAGGACTTCTAGCCCACCCTCCTAGGACCCACTCTCTAAAACCCTCCAGGGGCTTTTGGTGCACCTAGCCACCCCTTCCCTTCATTCTGCTCCAGCAGTGCCAGCCAGCCTTTCTGTCCTTGTCACCTTATGTGCTTTCCTGCCGTGGCCTCTTACCAGCTGTGCCAACACTGGCTGGTAAGAACCTCTCAGCTTGTCCACCCACCTCGTGGCCTCTGGCCTCGCTCCCCTGCTAATGGCCTTGAATGCTTTCACCATGTCTAGAATGGTCTTGATGTTTCCTTGCTAACGGCCCCTCTCCCTAATCAGACTATGAGGTCTACGAGGGCAGAGCCCTGGTCAGTCTTGCTCCTTGTTGCACCCTCAGCAATTGGTGGTATTGGGCACACAATTGAGTAGATGCTCAACAAACGCTTGTTGAGTGGGTGAACCCCAAACATGTCATTGTCCCCGTGTGCCCTGCTGAAGATGTCCTCTGGTTGGCTTGCTGGTTCACTAACTCATTCATTCCTGGGTCCACTGACTGACTCCTTCAAACACCTACCACGTGCTTTCCATGGGACTTCCAAATGAATGAATGAACGAGTAAGCAAACATCAGGGCCTTCCCATGCCTACTCAGAGGCCTCTGATCCCAGACCCTGGCAGTGATGATGTTCTCGGGGAGCCAGGCCTGTGCAGGAATATTCTCTCCAATTCACAGGGAAGGAAACTGAGGCTCTAGTGAGCTCATCCAACCATGAAGTACTGTGAATCTCACCTCATTAATGAGGAAACTGAGGCACAGAGAAGTCAGGTAACTTGCCCAGCATCACACAGAGCTAGAATTTGACCCCAGGCTATTTGGGTCCACACTCTGTACTACCAAGGAAAATGACTTGAAGAAACCTTGAATTTTCTTTTTTTTTTTTTTCTTTTTTTGAGACAGGTCTGGCTAGATAGCAGAGGCTGGTCTTGAACTCCAGATCTTCCTGCCTCACCCTCCTATGTGTTGGAATAACAGGTGTGCACCACTATGCCTGGCCTTGAATTTCCTTTTTGAAATGGTGGAAGGACGCTAGGAGGTGAAATAGACACACAAATGTCACGGCCCCTTCTGTGCTCAGGACACCCAACGGAAAGTGTAGAAAGTCACTAATCCACTTGTCTGCACAGATGGTCTGCTAGGAAAACTAGTAACGTGTGCAGTTATGAAGCTGCTTATTCTTTCTTAGTGCAAACAAGGACAGCAACTCTTTTTTTTTTTTTTTTTTTTTTGGTGGTACTGGGGTTTGAACTCAGAGGTTCATGCTTGCTAGGCAGGTGCTCTACCACTTGAACCACTCCGCCAGCCCCAGACAGCAACTGTTGTTTGAGCTGCCAGTATGTCCTGGGCTTTGCACTAGGTGGAACATATGTATGATTTCTATCTGCCAGTAGTCCTGGGAGCTCAATGTTCCTTCCACCATTGCACGGATGAGCAAAATAAAGTTCTAAGAGGCAACAAAAACAGTCCAAAGTTTTACAACTATTGCACCTCATGAGTGATTCAAAACCAGGTATTTCTGATTCCTGACTCCCAGAACCACACTGCGCCTATTGATAACGGGTAAGATGTGCCAAGTGACTACCACAGGGCACCAGTGCTGAGCTGCTCATGGTGACCTTCCCATGCCATGTGCAGGTCCTTCACTTATTGACGTATTCATTTTTTGTGGTGGTGGGGATGGAACCCAGCGCCTTGCACGTATAATTCAGAAGACAAGTCATGTGCTGATGGCAAAAATAAACAAACAAACAGCAAAACAGGGGGAAGACAGTTTTTGGACAATCCCCGGTTTTCATTTATCTGTAATCTTATGCCACTATACAACCGCATGACACTATAATTGGGTACTTCTTATGTCGTAGTACGGTGTTCCACACCACAGCCATTTTACCCCATGACATTGGTCATCACCCACATTTTACAAATCTGCAGTGGAGGCCACAGTAATAGCAAATCAAGCCCGATGTCACCCACTCAGCACAACACAACTGCAGGGGAGCGCCACCTAGGTGCCTGGCTCCCAAGCATGAGCTGCAAGCCAGAGGTCCCCACTCCCCTGCTGGAGCTGGTCTGGGGTTGGGCCTCTGTGTTTCTGCCTTACATTGAGCAATAACCGGCACACAATTAAAAGCATAAATCTTCAGCATGCAGCTCGATTAACCCAGATCAAGAGGACAGAAGTTCCCTCAGGCTCCCTCCCAAGCTCTATTCCCACCCACCACCCATCCCATGGGTAGGCATTAGTACTCTCTAGCACTATAACCCTGTTTTGCCTGGTCTAGAATTTCACACAAATGGAATCATCCAGAATGGGCTCTTTTGGTAGCACTGGGGTTTGAACTCACGCTTGCCACCACTTGAGTCACTCTGCCAGCCCCAGAATGGGTGCTGTTGGCTTCTTTCACTCACCATCGAGCTTGTAAGATTCACTATGCAGCTCCTATATTGCTACTGTTTCCTTTTTGTGGTTGGGTGGTATTCCCTGCACACACTCAGCACTGGTGAGGCAGGACCCTAACCCGCTGCCGTATCCACTGCCTTGCAGATGGACAATCAGATGGTACAGAGCACAAGGCCAAGGGCTTCCGAGGCACTTCTGCTCTCTGTGCAGGCCACTGGCTAGACTGGCTCAGGGGAGGTGACTGGTCCCACCCACTGACCTGACCCTCATGCCTTGGAACATCTCCGTGCTGGTGTGGAAAGGCAGCACTGTGGTGGCACTGACGCCCGGACAGTCCAGCAGCCCCAGGGTCAGACTCTCCATGAAGGCAAAGGCTGAGGCTTTGGATGTGCAGTAGTCAATGGCGCCAGGGATGGCCGACAGTGCCAGCACGGAGTTGAGGCACACGATATGGCCGTTCTGCAGCTCCAGCATACGCGGCAAGAAGGCCTTGGTTGTCTGAGGGAGGACAGGGGTCAGCGTGGAGAAGCTGCAGATCACATCAACCTCTCTACCCGTCTTGGGGACAGCAGCCCACCCTGGACACACATGCCTCCCATGCAGGACTGAGCCTTTCTGCGAGGGAGGGCCTGAGAGCTCCCTGCAGGACACTGAGCTCCCCCGCCAGAGAGTCCCATGACTCCTGGGGCTGGTCATTCCTCTTGTCTGGCCACTTTGTCCTTGGACATCCCTCATGGCCTGATCTCCAGTCCCAGTGAGCTTCTCTCTCTATCCCACCCTGTCCAGGCTCCCTGTCACGCTCAGGGCTAGCTCAGGGCCAGCAAAGCCCTTACCCAAAACTGTCCCAGGGTGTTGATGTGCTGGGATTTGAGGAGAGCGTCATCGTCACTGTCCATCAAACTCTTTCCATGGACCACAGCAGCATTGTTCACCAAGATGGTGATGTCGCCCACCTGCGGACAAGAGGGGGCCACAGGAGCATGAGGGCAGCCAGCCCCTGTGGCTTGCACCTGTCGGGGCACAGACCAGGCCCCACCTCCATCAGCCACATGACCTTGGGCAGCTGCATCACCTCTCTGAGCACCAGTCTTGTTTATAAATGGCACAAGCATCAGTACCAGCTGTGTCTGAGGATGACAGTAATTAACAGCACATATGAACTTGGAACACAGCATATATAATAGATAATAAATGAGGCTCGGGTTACATAAAATAGTTAACGTTACCATGTGCCAGATACTCAACAGAATGTTTTTTCCTCCCTGGGAGGCCACTGATACACTTAGCCCAAAGAGTCAGCTGGGATCATGAGAAGGATTTTCCCAGAGGGCAAATTTCCAAGGGGACAACAGAAGTGAGGGGCCACTCCTGCTGTGCCATCAACGCTCAATCCCTGCCCAGGTAACTTGGACCTGTTTCCCTGAAGGTCCCCGAAGGTTCCCCAGAAAAAGCCCATCCACCATAAGCAAAGCTCCCTCCACAGCCACACAAGGATGTCCTCTTTGTCAGGTGTCTCCTGTGTCCACTGCACTGAGCACAGAGCCTCCCAGGTACTAACCTTCTCCCGGACAGCTTTGGCAGTCTGGTACACCTCCTCCCGGTTGCCCACGTCACAGATGAAGTAGTGGCACTCGGTGCCCATCTGCCGAATCTCCTCTGTCGTCTCCTTAAGGCACTTTTCAGTCCGGCCCCAGAGAACAATCTGGAAGGAGTGAATAACAGCACGGGACAGGCAGTTATGAAGCAAGCCAGAGTGATAAAATGATTACCATTAAAAATTCAGTAATTTAATGGTCTTTAAATTATTGGTCTCCTGAGCTGGGTGCCAGTGGTTCACATTTGTAATCCTAGCTACTTGGGAGGTTGAGATCAGGAAGGTTGAGGTTCGAGGCCAGCTGGAGCAAATAATTCATGAGGCCCTATCTCAAAATTACCAGAGCAAAATGGACTGCAGGTGTGGCTCAAGTGGTAGAGCACCAGCTTTGCAAGCACGAAGCCCTGAGTTCAAACCTCTGTCCCAGCAAAAAAAGAAGAAAAAAAAAACACTGATTTCCCTGATTCTACCCAAAAGTAAAGCATAAAAACAAATTAACAATATAAATTTTAAAAGGGATATCCATTTTTTCTTTGCTTTTGCAGTTCTGGGGATTGAACCCAGGTCCTCCCCCTCGCTAGGCTACTCTACCACTTGAGATGTGCCCCCAGTCCTTTTGTTTGTATTTTAATTTTGAGACAGGGCTGGTCTTAAACCCTAGCTCCTTGTGCCTCTGCCTCCCAGGTAGCTAGGGGTACAGGTTTGAGCCTGTGTGAATGATCAACCAACTGGTGTCATAATTTCCTCCCAGCAGGAGGATTCTGTCAGCCCAGTTCGTTTTCCTACATGCTCAGAAGCAATAGCATAGCTGGAACTGTATAGCATCCCAGAGTATTCTGTTAGGAGTCAGCTGACCTCACCGATTATGTCTGAAGCAGGGATGAGGCTGCTCAGAGCTTTGGCCTTGCTGCAGTCATACTGGGAAAGAGGATGGAAGGAGGACAGGAGAGGGCAGCAAGGCTCCTGAGAAAGAATCCCTCCCCCACCCAGCACGTAATAAATGTGGGTTCATTGTGCCAGGAGGTGACCTTGGCAGGTCCATAAATGGGTATAAATGGGTGGTGCAAATTTATGGATGGGCGGTCCACGGAAGGCTGGGAAGAGAAGCCTGGTGAGTCCTCAGTCTTGGCCTAAAGGAGGGCGACACACACCCTTGCACACAAAAGAGCAGGGTCAGATGCCTGGGGATGCGGGGTGGGGCATAATCACCCTAAGAATCAGCTCTATCAGCACAGAGGGAGAAGGGCTGATGCTGGGTGACACCCTAGGGACCTAATCCCGGAAAGCAAGCACCTAAAGGCTTCTGGGGATTTGTCCAAAATGTTCTTTCTTTTCTCTTTAAAATTATCCATGAAATACCCCTAGAAAGCCCCCAATATGGAGACCCCAACACATGAAGCCAGTAAGAGGAGCAGATGACACATCCACCTCAGTAAGGCTTTCTCACTGTCACCTCGGATAAGATCAACGGCTGCTTTGGGAAGCGAGCATCCTAAACTGGCCTTCCACATGGGGGCTCCAGTCACATCACACAGAATCCAGTTGCTTTCTAGATTTGCTTTGTCACATGGTGTAGTGAAAAGCCATACAGGTGACGAGTGCTAATGGTCCCTCCCAGCACATTTCAGATTTCAACTGCTTATGTTGAAATCTGAGAACTTTCATTCAAACAATATGGGTTTAGCTGACATACACACACACACACACACACACAGGATTCTGGTGATCACCTATTTGAGTTTTTAGTTTCTTAAACTTAAAAGAAATTCACAGGGAAGTCCCATTTGAAAACCCCACTTGGTCCAACCACCTCATTTGTTTGAACTTTCGTCTGGAAACTTGAGAAGGTCATGGTTGTGTCCATGACCACGGAAGTCCAGCAAATGCACTGGGACTGAAATTGGACAGGCTCCGGGGGATACTGCCTTGTTTCTTGAACTAAAAAAAGACTTAGAATGAATTCCTCCAAGACAGGCTGAGAAGTTCAGTTAATGGAGGAGAAGAGAGAGAAACATTTGTCCAGAAATGCAATTTGGCCATCCTTCACCCTCCCACATTCTGCCCTCACCCTGCAGCCACTGCTATCTGGACTTCCTTCCATCCTCCTAACCACTTCACCCACTCACCACCTACCACCTACCTACCCATCCATCCACTCACCACCTACCTACCCATGCAGCCACCTACACACCTGTCCACTCACACACCCATCCATCCATCCATCTACCCACTTATTCACTCACCCACCCACCCACTCATCCTCTGACCCACCATTCCTTCCTCTTATGCACACCATTCCATCCGTTCATCTATTGACCCAATCCACTCATCTGTCCGCCCACTCATTTGTTCATCCACCTTACCCATCCATCCATCCGTCTACCCTTTTCTGAGTATGTAAGTCTGAGATGAAGGTAATCCTTGGCTTCCTTTCTCCTCCAGTTCATGGGTAACTGGCTCAAGGAGCTTGCACAGTTCCCTAGTTCTGCTGAGGCACAGAGGTACCTCTAGGGACCCTAGGGATTTCTGGGTAAGTCAACAGATGAAAAGCTTAAAACTGGGTAGCTTGGTGGAAGGTAAAGGGGTCTGGCTGTCTTGGGGAACAAGTGACCTCAGAAAGATCTGGAGCAGCAGTCCAGATGGGTGGCTTTCACTCTGAAACCTGTGGTCTTCTCAGCACAATCAGGTGTGCATGGGGTCCCATCTGGTGCTGCATGGCACCAGGTGAGTGAATTCGTGTTGGTTCTTGAGTAAGGTGAGGCGGGAAGAGAGAGGTCCAGCACTCCCCAGGTCTGACCAGGAAATGTACAGTCGGGAAACTAGGGAGACCAGCACTGTTTGTTGACTGTGCTGGAGAACCACCCGGAAAGGGAAATGGGGTTGGAGGGGGTGGCTAAGGTGGGTGCCACTGGCTTCCTGCGTGTAGGCCAGGACAACAGTCAGGTCACTGAGGCTCCATTTGTTTCCTTCTGAGGGTCTGTAGAGGTCACCCTGGTAGGTTGGCTCCACCTCTCTCTGGCACCACAGTAGTCTGTCTTTCTGCTCTCCTCACCCTCTCCTCCACTGAGCCGGGAGTCCCCAGAGGACTACATTCTACAGTGTTCATTTTAGTATTCTAGGGCCCAGTGTGGTATATGCTGTGTGTTGGATGAATAAAAGAGCCAAAGGAGGAAGAGGGTGGAAGGGGTTAAACCATCTCTCTAGGCTGAGAGACTACTTATGTTCCTTGCTGGAGTCATTCAGGGTTCCAGGACCAGGAGTCAGGGAGGCCTAGAGTTTCCCTAGAACATCCAAACCCCTTTGGCTGGGCTGAGAGGAAGCCAGAGCACAGCCTGGAGTTCTGGAAGGGGGCAAGGCCTTAGTGTCAGGCAAAAGAGAGTCTCAGGCTGATGTGTGCAGGCTTTGCTGGCTCTAGGTGTCTCTGCAAGACTCTGTGTGTCTGTTTGTAGTATGTGTTTGTGTGTCTGTGTCTGCGAGCATGTGCACCCTTGTGTGTTTCCTCAGATCCTCTGGTGGATGTGCAGAGGTCCTGGGAGCTGGGCTGGACACTGTCCGTCTATCCATCCGTCTTAGAAGCTGGCTGGGTCTCCATGGTGACGGGTGGCCAGGGCTGGGTGATGTGGGCGAGGACTGAATGGAGGACATAGGACACTGCTGGGAGAGCCTGTCAGGCTTCTGGCTCCCCCTGCAGCCCTGCTGGACCCCTCTGGGAAATCCGAGTCACTGGCCAGGAAGCTGCAGGTACAATTTAGCAGGCCTGCCCAGGTAGCTAGGCCAGAGTCCCCTGCGGGTGCCCCTGACAGCTGACAGGACAAGTAACCCACCCAAGGCCAGAAGGGCGAGGCTGGGCAGATGGAAGCAGGTCTGAGGAGTGAGGGCCAGAGCGGGGGAGGTGGCAGTTTTATGAGTCCAGGAAACCAGTTGGGCCCCCTCTTAATTCATTCCCGGGACAGGGAGCAGCTGGGAGGGTCAGAGCCCTGGGATTGACTCTTAAGCTGGGTTTATAGTCAGTGCCCTGGTGGCTGAATACCTCCTGGCCTGCCTTCCCCTCTGGGGCAAGGGTCAACTTCTGCCCAGTCCCCTCCTATGAGAGGCAGACAGGAGGAGGGAGGGGAGGGAGGCCTTGGTCTCTGGGGTGCAGCCTACACTGGGCCATGGTGCCCTGCCAGTCAGGCCTGTGTTGAAGGCATGGCCTGCCCTTCGCCCCCTGGCTGCCCTTCGTCAGCCACAAGCTCTTTATGGCCTTCCAGTCAGAGGCTGTCATTATCCATTTCCCATAGAAAGGGATCTGTGACTCAAGGTGGTTCAGTAGAGCACTCAAAGCCACACTCAGTGGATGTCGCCCTGAGTTTCCTGGCACAGCGGTATGCTCTGAGCTTTGAGAACTCCCTCCCAAGGCCACATGCCCACCACCTAGAGTCCACTTGCACTTAAGATGGTTCTTCCTGCCAGGACCTCAGGGAGAGCCCACGAAGGGCTGTGCACTTGACTGGTACTGGGATTTGACAGAGAACAAAATGGACTTGGCTCCTGCCTCAGGAGCCCAGGTTCCAGTGGGGAAGCCCGAAGAGGAACAAGGAAGCCAGTGGTCACAGCGAGGGTAGTAGGGTAAGGAAAAGACAAGGGGTCATCTTTTAAAATGGGGATTCAGGAGCTCCCCACATGATGCTCATCTCAAAGAGAAGGGGACTGTAGCTCAGAGAGGTTAAGCTCCTTGTCTAAGGTCACACAGCCTGCGAGTGATGACAGAGCTGGCATTTGAGCCGTGAGTTTGTCTGGCTCTACACACAATCTCCATTCTCTCTCCTGGCAAGAGAAAACTCTCCTCTCCTCCCAGGGTCCCGTGGGGACTCAGTACATGAGGCTGGCACTCACTAAGTGTTCAGTACATGCTCTCTGTTGGGATTTCCCTGGGGTGGAAGGGCTGAGAAATCACAGCTCTACCCTCTGTACGTCCCTTGGCAGCCAGTAAAAAGATGAGCGTATCGAGGCATGGCAAAGAACTCAGACAAAGGAGGCGAAGAGTTATCCATCCAGGAAAAATGCAACTCTAAAACCTCAGCAGGTTCGTGAAGTAAGTGGGCAAAAAAAGAGGGGTCTCTGGGAAG